CCGCGTGGCCGGAGCGGTGGCCCCGAGTGGCGGTGGACTGCGGTGGGTGGCCTGCAGGGGCGCATCCTCGTGGGCAGGATGGCCCTCGGAGCTGGCAGGGCCGGTGAACCCCAGTGTCTGCGTGGACAGGGCTGGTGAGCTGGAGTGTCCCCATGCCCGTGGCGGCGTAGGGGAGAAGCAGGTAGTGGTCTTGGACCTCGAGCACACCAGCGGGTGCAGGAGTCGTGCGCTACATGGGTCTGGGGTGCCCAGAGCAGGCCCAGCGCCCTGGGAAGCAGCACCTGGAGCCACAGGTGGAAACCAAGGGGCGTGCACCTCTGGCTTGGTGTGGGCCTTCCATGTCGTTTCTGAGAGGTGGGGACACCGTGGCAGTGTGAGCACACCACTGTGGGGCGGTGAGCATGGCCCAGCAGCCCTGGTGGCCACTCCTGAGCCTGAGGCCTGCCAGAGCAGACTGCAGCTAAGCCGCTGGAAGGGAGAACTGTCCCTAGCACCGGTAACAGGGTAGAGGGGCCAGCCAGGCCGAGGATGCTGAGGGCGCTGGACCACCACGCGACTGACCATGGTTCAAGTCCCAGACCTGAAGACTTGGAGGTCATACCAGGGGCAGGTGCATGCACGCATGCCTCAGATCCCAGGAGAAGAGGGGAAGGGGTTGTGGCCCGGGAACCCCAGGGGCCATCTCGCCTCTCCTCCTGCTGCCCCTTCAGTGAGCACACATACCCTGTGGCAGAAACCTAAAGAAAGAGAGACAGAGAAGGGACAGTTAAACCCAGGCTCCGTCTGCAGGGGGGCACTTCTCTCCAGCTCTGTCCCTCTGGCTTGGCTGGGGCACTGAGGGCACGTGAGACCGCCTTCGGGGCGTCTGACCTCTTGTGGGCCGCGCGTTAGCAAGTGGCAGACCTGCCGTAGAGGACACCAGGAGGCAAAGACACCCTGACCCGTGGGCCAAGCGGTTGTACCTCCCACACCTGTTGCTCCAGGCAGCCTTTTGAGCATTCCCAGATGCCAGAGACTGAAGCCAGAGTCGTACAACCTCTCCTGCTGGGACTTGCTCAGTTCCCCAGAAGCCCTCGGAAGACACAGGGCCAGGTCACACAGCCCCGTGTTGAAGTAGAGGGAGAGAAGGGAGACTCAGCCAAGTGGAGCGAGGGCTTCGGCCGGTCCCCCCTCCCGCGTCGCTGCACTGCACACTGTCACCGGCACGCGGCTAGCCGGCTCTCAGTACACACTGTGCACCTGTCCGGCCTGCAGGAGTTCACTGCTCATTTTCACATGGGCCTTACATTCTCGCAGTCTCCACACTGCCGTACTAACTCGCTTCCCAGAGCGGAGTCGGTAGTAGACCACATTTGTTTCTCTCTGCCTCCTGTTCTGCCCACGAAATGGGTTTAAAATGCACCTACCATGTGGGGTAGGTTGGAGGACTGCAAGTCAGCCTGGAGGCTGTCAGCAAAGGGCCTGGTACAGTGAGTCCTGATAGGTGTTGACTGGTGTTAACCAGGGGAATTCAGAAAGTCCTTAGAAGATGGAATTAAAAGTATGAGTTTATTTTGGTGCAAAATAATTTGAAATCCATACATAGTTTTTTTGTAGTAGGTATTTCTTTTTTTAAGAATTACTTAATTTTTATTTATTATTGTTATTTAACTTGACCAGAAACAGAGAGAGAGATAAAAGGAAAATGAGAAAGCAAGCTGCCAGGTCTGAGACTTAAACCGTGGTTGGCCATGGGGGAGTCCAGTGCCTTAACCACCAGCCACCCGCTGGCCCCAGCGGAATGTATGCCTGCAGACCTTCCGAAGACCTTGCCTCTTCTCAGTTTGAAGAATAATCTACACACTAGAACTAGTGAATCCTGGATGTTTATTTTTTAAAAAGAAGAAACAAAACAAAAAAGCAGTTGAGAGATTAGCCAATAATTAAGCATGGTTCTGCTCGGAGGAGAGGGTCGGCACAGAGTCACCAGGGCCAGGGTAGCTCGTACACAGGCGAGGCAACGCCCCTGTAAATCACTTGGCAGAGGAGTCCTGCGCACCCTGTCTTCCAGAAGCCTCTGCTCCTGGTCACAGCCCCTCCTTCTGAGCTGGGACAGCCATTTTCTTGCCGCCTCCTGCACTTGGCCATGCCTTGTTCTTCACCCACTTCCAGATCGCGGCCAGCTCCTGCACCCACGGGGAGCCCCCACGCGGCGCCAGGTGGTCTGCCGGCTCGCCAAGGTGAGGGCGACACGCGTTCTGGCACACGCTGCCTTGGCCACAGGAAGTCGCAGGGCTGAGCGTTGTGCGTAACTTACTATGATAAAGCCTGTGTTCAGTGCTTTCCTGGGAAGTATTAAATTGGTATAATCTTTTTTTTTTTTTGAAAACTAGCAGTATTTGGTAGAGATTTTTTATCTGGGAGCCGGGTCTCACGTAGCTGACCACAGTTTGAATCCCAGCCCTGGCATCAAAAAACACCAGCCAAAAAAAAAGGAAAACCCACCAGGCAAGCCACATGAGCATGCCCAGACCCTCGCAGGGCAGGGCGCAGAGAAGGGCTTACAGTGTGACCACACCATCGGTAGTGCCTCGTACTCTCCCTGGCAAGCGCACACGCCCTCTGGCAATATTTATTTTTTGGAGAGGTTTTAGTTACAGGGTGCATGCGCTCACCAGAAAGACAGAGAGACAGAAAGCAAGAAATCACCCCCCAGGAGGATGGCCACATCACAACCTTCCCCTCCATTCTCCTCGCGGGATCTTGGGCACGCACACACACGTGCCCGGCGTGAGTTTAAGCCACCAGGTCTGGGGCTCGAACCGCAGTTGGCTACATGGGAGTCTAGCGACATAGCCTTTACAGTAACTGCTGGTCCTTTTTCTTTTTTTTTTTTTAAGAATTATTCTATTTAACTTTATTAATTATTATTGTTGTTATTATTATTTTAGTGTGATCAGAGAAAGAGACAGAGTGAAAGTGAGAAAGCAAGCCACCAGTTCCAGGACTTGAACCGCAGTCGGCC